AATGTTGTTGGTAGAAGCACCATGGGAAACCATCCACTCCAGGCACCCTGAAAGCACCTAATTGGAACACCGTAGAACAAATTTCATCATTTGAGACAGAACGACACAATTCATGATTCATTTCTGCAGTAACAGACGGGTGGATAAACCTTGAAATTTGCTCAAGATTACAAGTGTTCGAGGAAGCATAAGCTTGTTGGAATTGGGAGTAAGCATGGGAGATTATTGATTCAGTGTCTTCCAGCCATTGCCCATGTTCATTCTTAAGCTGAAAGATGTAGTTGTTCTGCCTCCTTTTAGATGCAATCACATGGAAAAATTTAGAATTCCTACCACCAAATTTGATCCAGCTCATACGAGCTCTCTGAAACCAGTATGCTTCCTCTTGCATCCAGATAATGTGAATTTTGTCAATTAAAAGCTTCTGCCTCGACCAATTCAATTCTATTTGTTCCTCTTGTTATCGTGCATCAAGTTCTTATTGTAATTGCTCTAGTTGTTGATATGGATTTCCTAAGGTAACTTTGCTCCATTCCTTCAGGGATTGTCTACAAAGATTTTTGCTGCCATGTTATACAGGGGAGATCCGACTCGGTTGGTTGACCATCCTTGCGCCACTACTCCCTCATATCCAGTTTGGAGTTGCCATTTCATCTCATATTTGAATTGCTTGTTCATGACACTAGGAATAGCTTAAGCAGAGTACGAGAGGGCAATGGTCTGAGCCGATCCTTGTGCAGTGGAAAAGCTGAGCATTTGAGAAGAGACAACCCCAACCGTCATTACTTAGAGCCCGATCAAGTCGTTCACTAATATTGCCTCGGACCCATGTATATGTAGCACCTTTATAAGCAATTTCTCTTAAGGAGCAAGAGCAGATCAAGTCCTCATATAATCTTCTATCATTCCTCGACGGAGGTCTTTTCCCCTTCTTGTCACTACTATTTCTAATAAGGTTTAAATCTCCCATTACTAGCCATGGAATAGAACTAGGCCGTCTATGATTCATCATTCTGCTCCACATAGCTTGTCATAACTATGCATTAGGTTCCCCATAGACAAAGGAAAAATGCCAAGAGACAGAGTAAGCAACACTTGAACAGCTACCATCCAGCATATTTTTATCAGATGAGAAAATGGAAATATGAACATCCTCAGTCCACCACAAGGCTAAATCCCCCAAATAACCTTGCGATTCAACGTACACATTACTAGAAAATGCATACTTTCTTCTTAATCGCTCCAAGTATTTCTTATTCTTTTTGGTCTCCATCAAAAACACCAAGCACGGGCAATGTTTAAAAATGAGATCATTAAGTGCTCTTTCTCGTCAAGGCTTGCCCAAGGCCTTGACAGTTCCAAGAAAGAATCTTCATGTCGGTGAGGGTGGCTGCCATGGGCCAGCCACTGATGCCACATTAGCCATAGCATCAAGAAGTTGCTCGGTTGTTCTTGATGGAGAGTTTAGGAGATATGTAGAAGGAGTACCTGGAGCATGAGTTGTAGTAAAGATCATGGGGGTAACAAGGGGTTCATTGAGGAGTCTGTGAGTTGGATGGAACTGTTGGTTCAACGACAAGCAAGGATCTGGTTGGAGCTTGACTTGGCGGGCCAGTGCCATTAGCTGGATTTTACGCCTCACCCAATGGACTGAGAGAGACTCTACAACAACTATGACTTCACCTTTTGTTCCTGTTGATAAGATTCAGGCCTTCCCAATGCTATGGAGTCTTGTAGTGGGGTTGGGAAGTATTGTAGCCCAAGGAGTTCATTGTGTGCAATGCAAGCCCGCTTAACCGCTTCAATAGAAGGCCCAGTGTCACATCTTCGTTTTTTCCCAGTTGAAATGTTACTACCCAATAAGAGCTGGGCTTCAACCTTTTGGGACAGTAATAAGCCCAATTCCACACTGCAACAGTCTTCTACACATCCAATGGCCTGATCTTGGATGTCAGGTGGGATGTGTAGATGTTTATGTAGAGCTGATAACTGCAGAGTGGTCATCATCGCATTTAATGGAGGAGGTGTTTGCTGGTGTGTGGCAGATGATAAAGATGAGGACTCTGCACTAATATCAGGAATGGTAATCATACCCCTATATGACTGCATCTCCATCTCATTAAAAGCTGGAGTTGACAACGAAAGGGTAGATGAGTTCACGCGCTCTTCCTCTTGCTGTTCAACACGTCCCAATTCAGAGGGTTCTTCTTCATTCACCACTGTGTTCTGTTGAGCCGAGTGTGTCGGCAGTAATGAACATCCAGTCTGAGATTTGTTTGTGGCTTCGGGTAATAGTTTAGCATGGTGATTTTGGTGATAGGTGTTCCCTTCCCTAATGGAGCGAAATTGCCTTTTAGGCGAATACGTTGCAACCCTTAACTGTGGCCCATATTGCGGCCTAACTTGAATGGGATGATTGCTGTCATTATCCTTCTGGTTGAAATCAGCACATGATTTGTTGGTATGGCCTAGCCGCCTGCAGCTATAATAGAAATCAACAAGTTTTTCATACTTAAACTCAGCATGCCAAATTTCATCTCTTTGTTGTTGGAATTGGAAACCTATGGGAAGAGGATTTTGAACGTCAATTTCAACCCTTAAGCGTAAGAAGCTTTCCAGGCCACCCAAGGTAGATTGGTCCCATGAGATTAAACGGGGAAATAGTGACCCGATGAGTTGGATGCTTTCCCTAGACATGCAACCTTTTGGGAGGCCATGAACTTGTACCTAGAATTCTGAGTGAGAAAACACAAGTTCATCAAAACGCTGGGACGTCGTCCAATCTTTGAGGACAATATGGGACCCTTTGACAAACCATGGAGACTCTCTAAAGATTCTGTCTTTCTCAGTTTCATTCGAAAGGATAACAAGAAAAGTATTTTTGGACTGTTCATGCACTTCAAGTCCTCCTTTCGGTTTCCAGCCACTCTTTAAAATGCTATACACCACCCCACTTCTAGTATCATCTTCATTTGCAATTAGACGTCCTGCAAAGGAGAACTAGTGAGGCTCACTGTGGTCTTTTTTTTAGTGGTTAGGCGAAGGACCGGGGTTTCTTGTCCCCCTTTGGAAGCACCACTTACTTCTGGGTGTTGATTTACCATTTCCCCATAAAGTGAGGAAATTAATATGGCATCCAGATCTGGACAGTGGTAGGTAGAGCAATGAAAACACCACCAGATACACTACCAACCTTAATTTCTACACTGCGAATAGAAAATAAATTGAAAACCTGCTGCAAACTGCAAAGGACCAGAGTAGGATGATAGTGAAAACCACTTGAAGGTATTACCTCAGGATCACAAGCGGGAAACCTTAGAGAGAAGCTCCTAGAAATGGTTCCCTTAAATTTTAACCTTTTATTTTTGCTGAAATAGCTAATAATATTATTAGAATAGTGGTCCAACTCCATTGTAGACCCAAGGCCCAAATCCAAGTCAGCACATGAATGAGCCTTGATTGTGCATGCCAACACACAAAGATGAGTGAACCAACAAGTCACACGTAAAATGACTATAAATAAATACCCCTCGGCAACCACTTCAAAAGGTAATTCTACCGCTCCATGAGGTAATTCATCACTTCTTCAATCTCTATTATTCTCTAGTTAAGAACCTTTCTTAGGAGCTCCACAGATTATTAACGGATATTATTATTAAATTAAACATTAATCTCAAGGTCCCAACCTTGGCTCTTTGTAGGAATTTGAAGACACAGCACCTTCAAACATGAAACTTGGAATCTGGTTATAACTGTAAATAAATCAAGTTGAGTAGGAACTTCACCTTAATATTACAATAATGAGTTAAGTTGAGTTTAAGTTATTATTGAATTTAAATATATTGAACTCGAACTCAACTTATAATTAAGCTCAAGTTTGACTTGTGAATTCTAACTTAACTAGTTAACTCAATCAAATTTTCAAATTTAATTTAAGATTTAAATTAAAATAAAATTAAAAATTTAAATATTTAATATATAAATATTTTTTAATACAATTGAGTCAATTTTAAATTGTGACTTGAACTCAACTTAAATTTTTTTTTTTTTATTTTGAGCTCAAATTACTTGAGCTCAAATCGAACCCAACTCAAGAGTCAAGTAGCTCACAAGTAGTTAGTCAACCATCCAAAGTCATCCCCAACATTTTCTATCTAAATAAGTGTTTTTGATCATCCCCAACATTTTGTATTTGATTTAGTTATTTTGAATAGCTTATTAAATGGCTCGATTAAAAGCTTACTATTAACTTAATAATTTTTTAGTTTAAAATTCACAAACCCTTAAGAGTTAAACTCAAATTATTAGTAGTAATTTATCTTCATACTTATATTTTGATTCTAATATGAGATTCGAGATATTATAATTTCTAACTAATAGGTAATTTTTAATGATTATAATATTTAAACTATGTATAAATAATAACAACTATCAATCATCAAATATTAATCATAAGCTGCAAGTTGTTTCAAACTATGAAAATTAAATTTTTTTTTTTTTTGGGTTCAATAATGCAAAAAGCGCTTACGCACAACGTTTTTCTCTTTTGTTTTTTTTGGCAAAAAAGGGTCCATTTTAATTTAAAAAATTCAAAAAGAGAGAGCAACAGCTAGTTTCATCGCCTAGGCTCTCGAGGAGACGGCAACGACATTGCCTAAGTGCGCATTTTGCAATACTGTTTTGCTTAAATCACATTATCGATGCCTATTAGAGGTCCAGATAGCTCTGTTAAATTTACTAAGGAACATTGTGCGTGGTATGTTATTACGCACAAATTGTCAAATGATATTTTATCGAATTTATATCGTATAATGTATAATGTATTTCAAAGTGTTTGGTTTGAAAGTGAATTACACCAAATCAGAATTTATATCGTATAATGTATAATGCATTTCAAAGTGTCTGGTTTAAAAGTGAATTCCACCAAATCAAAACTTCTTTGCTGTGGAGTTCCTACAGATGAGGTGCAGGAAATTGTAATAGATTTGGCTTCGACTTGACATTTTACCAGTAAGGTACCTTAGAATACCATTAATCACGGGGAAATTACCCTACAGGGACTTGCAGCCTCTATTAGAGAAGATCACGTTTAGGATGAACTCTTGGTTAGCAAAATATCTCTTTCTTGCTGGTAGACTCCAGTTGGTTGCTTTTGTGATACAAGGCCTCACAAATTTCTGGTGCTCAACTTTTGTCCTACTCAAAGGTCATCAAGGAAATTGGGCAAAAGTGCAGTGCCTTCCCATGGACAAACTCAACAACTAATGCAAGGGGTGCTAAAGTGAAATGGAAAGCCTTCTGTTTACCAAAGCAGGAGGGTGGTTTGGGACTCAAAAGTCTAATACACTGGAAGTCTGGAACAAAGCTTGCATGATGCGTTTCATATGGTTGCTTTTCTCTAAGGCAGGCTCAATTTGGGTAGCATGGGTTCATGCATACTTGCTGAGGGAAAAATCCTTTTGGACTGTGAAAATCCCTTCTGATGCTTCTTGGGGCTAGAGCAAACTACTAAAACTCATATCTCTGGCTAGACCCTTGCTAAAGCACGTTCTTGGAGATGGTAGGGACATCTACATTTGGCATGACAATTGGCACCCCTCAAGGCCACTGGTGGAGCTACACGGGCGAAGACTCATTACGGATGCAGATATCTCATCCCAAGCAAAATTGTCTCTGGTTATTAATGGAAATTTTTGGTGTTGGCCCTCAGCTAGATCATCTGATCTAGTGCAAATTCAAATTCAGTTGTTTGACAAGGTATATCCTAGAGAGGGAGAGAAGGATATAGTAGTGTGGATTCCTTTCACATCTGGTGTGTTTAGAACAGGGCAGACATGGTACTGGATTAGAGGCAAGCAAAACAAACAACCCTAGCACAGATTGATTTGGTTTGCTAATGCGGTCCCTAAACATAGTTTTGTGAGCTGGCTTGTTGTTCTTAATAGACTCACTACCAAAGGTTGTCAGAAACAATGAACACATAATTTAGATGATACATGTGTTATATGTAAGAGTGCACCATAAACAAGCTCACTTATTTTTTAAGTGCGATTTCTCTAGATGCATCTGGCAAGAACTCAATTTTATGCTAGACATTCCCTTCCTTGATTCATGGCAGGACTTACTAGGGTGGGTTGGCAAGAAAATTAGGATGAAATCCCTACATAATTCATTGATTAAACTAGCGTAGATTGCAACAGTTTACAATGTTTGGATGGAAAGGAATAGAAGAATCCATCAACAAGATTTCAAAGTTGAAGCTGCAGTACTTACTGATATTAGATTTGAGGTCAAAAGCAAGACTTTGGGGTTTGCCCAGCCAAAGTCATCTTGCCTCCCTAAAACAATACTGCTGAAATGGGGCCTTAAAACCATTGTGAAGAACTAGAAATTAGTAACATTCTCTTAGTTTGTGTTTTGTTTTTCTTTAGTATCAGCGCTTTTATAAGCTGGTTATGATGTACTTTTAGTCTTTTGGATAAATAAAGGTTCACATTTCATCCAAAATGTATAATGTATTTCGAGGTTGGATAAAATAAGTCATTATGCTGGCATCAATTATATTTATACCTGTAAATTTTACGTGAGAAATACAATTGGAGTTTATTCTTCACCTAATTAAAATTGTTTGACTCTGCTGATGAAGGTATTGATGATGCCCTCGACAGTCTATAATGGTAGGAATCCATCATTTGTTTTGTGCCTTTGTTTTTTGATGCTTACATCACATTTTAGAAGTTCAGACTCAGTTGAGGGAGAGGATGAAACGGATTGAAACGCGGCCAGGAACTGTATGTTTAGCTGGCGTTAAGAGCAAATTATTTCTGTTCCTTCCTAAAGGTAGTTTAAATATATATATATATATATATATATATATTCTCTACATTGAATAAACAGCATGCTGAAGACATGATAAAAGTAAATATGAGGTCAATTTCAATCAGGCTTTGTACTAATTTTTACAACAATTTTTCTTCAGGTCACACATTACAACA